AACAATCAGGTAAACTTGTGTTCTCTCCTCTCTAAGTTTGATGTCAGCAAAGTTTGATGTTTTTCGGTCTTGCTAACCTAGCAGGACAGGCTATGCATCTGATAAGCCTGACAAAAGTGAGAGTAAAATACAGTTATTTATAACGTTTGTTTTTGATAAACGACAACGTGTTTGTTTACTGCAGCTCGGAAAACATAACCAAGTCGTGTGCGTTATCGTCCGTTCATATGCGCGTGCACGAAATGAAACTCGCTTTTTTCAAGCAGAAATATGTGGAGACCAGACATACTCTACAATACATGCACATGAATGATGGCACTCCCAATCAAAGTAGTACACATTATAAAACGAGACGCTGATTATATAGTCTCAGTGTAGTTAAAAACTCTAAACAACCACACTAATTATGCAAGATAGAAAGCAATGTATTGACAATTTGACATTGATTGACTATTGTTTCATAGGCTGTATTGAATTTAAAATGTTGATAAGCTGGACATACTGGTCAATATGGATGCACATCCCTCAGTAAATAATAGCCATACATCAAGAATTGCTTTAACATGCATAATTAAAAAAAAAAAATCATACTGATGCCGAAAATACCCAGGCTGTAGAGTGAACCAAAGTTAATCCCAAAAGCCAAAGCTCAGGGTTATACTTGATTATTTTCTTCTTATTTATGTTTACGTTAATATTCACTTAACATTCTATAAAAAATACTCTATTCAATAAATATTGTTTGTTTGAACCTCATTCTTTTCTGTATTGTTGTACTTATTCTTTGACCGTTTTGTTTAAAGGAGGGAGGATTGTATTGGGAGCACTGAAGTGTCAGGTATGACTGTGTGGCAATGGTTTACATAGCTCACGGCGTCACAGATCAGGTAGAGGGCCCCTTTGGTCAAGGAAAAAAAAAATGGTCAAATGTCTTTAACATACTATGCTAATACTAAATATTACATTTTGGAAAGTGGCACCACATGACATTATACAATCTGAAATGACCTTGCCTTGCCATAAAAGGGTCAAATTATCTGTTACTAAAAAGACCAAATAAATAAATTATTGAATAATTAGATCCAGAGAGAAAAAAAAAGCAGCAGTGTACAACATTTTCCAAAGCTAATATCTTCTTTTAAAAGACCTTGAAAGCCCTTGTAGACACACCGAATAAAAAAAAAAAAACATCCAGTTATTTGAAGGGCCATGAGCAACTATCTGATTTAAAACAGCTCTTCTAAGGGGGTAGAGGAGAAATCCAGTAATCAGTACCATGTTGTCTACAATTCAGCATGAAGGGAGAGTGTTTTTCTTGCCTTTTCCAAATGTAGTTATTAGTCTTGTGTGTTCATAACGGCTAAGAGGGGAGACGTGCAGCCTTTGATGCGTGAAATGGGCGTAAAATTACTGGTGTGGTGTGTGTCTAAGAGGAAAACAAGCATTTTTGAACATGACCTTGGAAAATAAACTGAAGGGTTGAAATGAACGCAGCTGTAAGTTAGGGAAGAGTTGAACAGTGCTAACCTGTGTAAAAATGTGTATGGACACAGACAGATCCACACATAACCAATGGTAAATATAGAGCTGAGACAAGTGCCATAGATAACAGTAATCTGCAAACCAATAGAAAAAAAAAAATGTGGGAGCAGAGCTGGGAATCAAAAACTTTTTTTAAAGGGAATAAAAAAAAATAATAATAAAAATAGGACAACCGGTGTAGTTCAATGTGTGAATGAATATTTTTTGTGAACTGGTTCTTTTGAAAAAAAAAAAAAATCAATCAAAATGATTTACTAATGTATCTTGAAGTCACTCACTCACTGAATCAGTCAGTCATGCCACAAACTCAAATCCAACTCTAAACAAAGCAAAAGCCATTGTTGCATTACATTTTTAAGATTTATGATACTGAATCAGTGTGACTGTTATACATTGGCTTAACCAGTATGGCAGAAATAGTGAACTATTAGTAATAATTATTAGTAACTAATAATAACTAATAGAAATACTTATTGTTAATAATTATTATTATTGTCTCGGTCTGGAGTAAAACTATATATCTCCATATTTATTTATTTTTTCATAAATCCTTACCATTATTTACTTTGGGGTTTGCAAATTTTAACCAATGAAAAGTATTAAAAAGAGCTTGTGACTAAACCGTAACTCCATTGGATTCTCAAACTGTCAGTAAAACCCCAGAACTTCACCCCGCCTCAATCTTAAAAGAAGTGCCCCACACATTTTAGACGGTCTCTGCTTGTTTGAAAAGCGAGGGTAAATAAAGAACTGTTTGGATAAGTACACTGTTGTCTTTACTCAAGTAAATTAAAGCAGTTTATATACCAATGTTTTATGTATTGGAGGAGCAGAGAGCCTTAGTTTTTTTTTGTTTTGTTTTTTGCCGTCCAGTTATAGCCAATACTGTCTTAAAAAGAAGCACTTACTCTTTTATAACAAGAGATTTTTGCCAAATGATGGAAAAAAACTGAGCGTCCACATAGATACAATAAACAACCTGTAAGTTGATGAAAACTCACTGCGACGCATTTACTGCTTCAGATGTGGCCATTCACAACACGTATGTCTGACATTCGCTGGTTAAAAATCTCATAACTCCATTTGAGCTTGATTTTCATAAAATATTAATAATATAATGACACATGCAACCATTTATAAAGCCACAATTGATGATGCAGTCAGTGTGTTTACATGCACCCTCATAATGCGATTATAATGGGATTTTGGCAATTTGGGGATGTTTACCTCATGTAAACGCAATACTTTGATTAAACTAATGCAATTAAGCTCATAATCGTGCTAACCAGAATAAATAAAGGGATAGTTCGCCCAAAAATGAAAATTAAGCTACGATTTACTCACCCTGAAGCCATTCTAGGTGTATGGCATTCAAAAAAAAATGTTCTGGGTGTTCCAAGCTTTATAAAGTGCTAGAAATGGCTCTGAAAAAAGAATTACATACACACTTGGGATGACTTCAGGGTGAGTAAATCATGGGCTAATTTTCATTTTTGGTTGAACTATCCCTTTAAACTACTGTATGTGGAGTACACCAATTTTAATTGCAATTAACAGGGGTTTCCCCATGCTGCCTTGCTGCAGTGTGATTTTATTCACGCTGCTAGGCAGCGTGGACAACATGAACCAAATTTTCACCTGAGACAGGGAACCAATCCCAGAACGGGGAGGGAGCGGCAAGATGACGATGACGTCTATAGGACACCGAATCAGTTTGTTTATATCAAGGATCAATTTTGGCAGCGGACGCGAAGTTACCTTTTGATACATCTTTTGTGTATACATACCGTAAAACTTCAAATAACAGCCCGGGCTTTTATTTTCCCAAATCGTAGAAAAGCAGTAGATTAAGTAGATTAGATTAAAACAATGGTGGGTACTATGCATACTGTATGCCTATCTGAGTGTGGTATAATCAAACTTATTAATGAATAATCAGAATAATGAATATTGCATGTAAACTGGAGTGAAGACTTCTGCTCGTGTCATGAAAACATTAAGACCTTAATCTAATTATTAGAAATGATTATGTTATTGTTGCAAACGTAGTCAGTGTTTAATTATTTAAGAAATACAGTGTTTTTCCATTTCCTGAAAAGTAGGTTTCCGCCTGGCAGTGACGATGTGTACAAAAACAAATTCTTAATGAAATCATTAAGGAACCGGATTTGTTAAGTGAAATCCAAATGAAATTCCTTACAATTCCCATCATGACAGAAATTGCTGTAATTACTGTAGATCTCAGCAGTGAAGGTGGTAATAGGAGCCGCTCCCTCTATTTTTTTTTTTTTCTTTCAAACGCAGTGTTAGGGGATTTAGTTTCCTTTCATCTATTTTCTCATTAATCTCAAACCCACTTGCTAGAGACTTTCTTGATATTTTCTCAGTGTATTCCAGCAGGAGCGAGATGTTTTCCCTGGCCGTCTTAACTGCGCAACTGCAATAATGTATCGCCAAGCCCCAATCGATCGGTCCTGATTGATACAGCCATGGATTCCTTAGCAAGCAATTTCAGCAACGGCTCAGAGAAGAGCTACTACACAAAAGCAAGGCAGAGAGAAATTTACTGCAGTTTTTAAAAGAACACGCATTGATTAGCATGGTCATTAGGACAGATGAATGATCCTACAGAAAAAACTCTACAGTGCACAGAAGACGCCGAGAAACAGGAGGACACAAAAACACACAAGTCTACAAGCGTTTTTCGTCATGGTCATCTCTCAAATGTCATCCCAGGCTCAGAATCACCTTGTGAAACACTAAAGGTAAAAGAACCATTTCCTGGAAAACATCCATTTTAACACATCGATTATGTTTAAGAAAGACATACTGCAGCAAAAAACTAGTCATCTAGTTTTTTCATAATTCTGATGCCATACTGAAAGTTTGACTGTCCAAGTTAACATATCAACACCTAACCATACTGGATCATATTTGAGGTTAGATATTTATAACAATGGCCATTTACATACAGCAGTCTTAAACATTTCAGAACAGAAGCAAACGTTTCATTCAGTAATTTCAGTGCCATATTTTTGGTGCAAGAAACCTTGTTAAACATTCTAAAATAAATAAATTAAATAAAGAATGCTACAAAAAAAATTGAATATGATCCTTTATAAGCTCTGTTTGTGAAGGTAAGAGCTTTGTGTGTATGTGTGGCTCCGATATACCCTACGTTATGGGGGAAAAAGTCCATCAAAAGATGGCAATATTCCAAATCCTTGTTTTTGTGGGGGCATTTTGTTGGTCCCCATGAGGGAAACGGCTTATAAAATCATACTAAGTGTTTTTTTTTTTTTTTGTTTGTTTTTTGGAAAATATAAAAATGCATAACGTTTTCTTAGTGGTATAGTTTTCTTGGTACCTTAGGGTTAGGAGATAGAATCTACAGTTTGTACACTATAAAATCAGTATGTGTTTGTGTGTTCAGAAGTGTTTTGCAAAAGACCACCTACCTGCAATACTAGCAAAGATTTCGCTGACACCAATGAGGACGTATTGGGGGACTTGCCACCATATGGGTAGATCGGCTGCATAGTATATAACTCCACCGAGCGACTGCGGGATGGGATCTCGTGTGTGGACAATGTCCAGCCTCTTTGTCTCCAAAATGCCTGTGGGGGGCAAGAAAGAGCATATAAGATAAAAAATGACTAATTAAATACCCAGCCCATTCTCATCCCAAGGCATCATATACTGACGCTTTTGACATTTCGTCAACATCCAACGCACATGACACCCTTTAGCGTCAATATTAGACACAGATGTACATGTATATGGGCCAGAAGGCGCCTCCTAGTGGTCTATCCCTAAACCTACCCCAGAACTAAACCTAGCCATAACCGAACAGAGCTCTGTGTGTGTTATTTTGAAGCTAAAGAGTGCCGTGAGCATTGGATTTAGACGAAATTTAAAAAGCGTCATGACGCCCTAGGATGAGAATGTGTTGAAATACCTCATAACAGTTCAGAAACCGTAATGGTATGGATTGTTTTTTGTTTGTTTGTTTGTTTGTTTTGGGGGGTTGACACCAAATCAGCATATTAAAATGATTGCTGAAGGATCATGTGACACTGAAGACTAGAGTAGCAGCTGCTGAAAAAGCAGTTTTACCATCACAGGTATAAGTTTTATATATATATATATATATATATATATATATATATATATATAAACACACATATATATGTGTGTGTGTGTGTGTGTGTGTGTGTGTGTGTGTCTGTGTTATTTTAAACTAAATACAGCTTTGGTAAGGATTAAAGTCCCACCCTAAAATACCCACCCTAAACATTTTAATGGTAGTGCAATATTCATTAATTACAGCAAATAAATGAGCAATAAATCAACTCATGAGCGCACTGCTTTCTAAATATTGGCAGCAGCCATTGAAAAACTAGGTGTTAAGCATATGTGTGTCAGGGTGCTTGATCAGATACATGTGTGCATGTTTGGAGGGAAAGTGCATGTAACAGTAAATGAAAAAAGTATGAACAGTCCATTAATGGATTAAGCGTCAGTTCAATGCCAGCGCTTCGCACAGGTCACAAACAGCTTATCTCCTGCACATAAAAAACACTCTCGCACACACAATTACACCAGGCCGTGTTTAGCAGGTAATCGGAGTGGAGCAGAGATTGTCAGTCTGGTCTATCTAAAAGCTTGATCCAATAATAACCATGTTGGAGGTGCTATTCAGATAACTCCTCATGGGATCCCAATCACACAGACATCCACATATTTCCATTTTTGAAGGGGTATGACCTTGTATTTCATATGCTTAAAATAGCAGGGTGTGATACATCTGTAGTGTGTCACTAACACAAAGTGCTTCAGTTAACAAAACAGTAACTTTTTTTTTCCCTCTCTTCACTCTCATCTTTCATTCCCTCCTCCCAAACACCAGAAGCGTTCCAGCTCTGATCTGTGGCGTCAGATTTAGATCGGAATACAAATGATGCCTGGATATAAAACACTCTTTGGCTACAAGTGCGACCTGCTACAAATTACAGTCCTCACTCCTGCACTTCCAAGTGATTCTAAACCCAGACTGGAAAAAAAAAAAATAATAAAAAAACATTTTATTCCTAGAGAAAATTGAACAGAAGTAGAACTGCTCGAGGCATTGTGTGCTGTGTGGCGGTGGCGCGTGTTTGCAGCTTTGTTGTCGGCACAGCTTGCCGTGGAAATGACCGCTTCCTGAGAGCAGGACAACAAGTGTGTCCAGGTGTGTGGGCATCATCTGTGCCTGTGGGTAAGGTTGGCTTCAGAGCTATGTCACTGCCAAGCACCCATCTGTTTGGAAAATGTTGTGTAAATGTTGTGAGAGGGTTCTGGCAGTGGTATTTTAAAACCCACCTAAGCCCTGCTGGGTTCAGCTACTGGATGGCTTCAATACACTTGAGTTAAGAGGCACAAGCTTTGTGTGTAAGCACACAAACATACACACTTTCATCTGTGCTTGGTGGCAAAACCACTAAAGAAAAAAAAAAAGCAAATAATCCAAACTTTCACAATTCAATCAATTCTTGATAAATAGAAAAAAACATTCCATTTGCCTTTTTTTTCCTAAGTGAATATCCATTTAGACTTAAAATGACACTTTTGCACATAAATTTACAAATAGCCCTTGTTTCTCAACAAAACATTATTTAAATGTCAGGGATTTCACCATCTAAAGCTCATGGTATTAAAAAAAAAACAATCACACAATCCAGACAGAAAGGAATCCGGGGAACAAGAAAATAAATAAAAACAGTATATGTCCATGATCTTCAAGCCCTCAGATGGAAAAACAGGGGCAAAAAGTATTGCTAAATCTGAGACAGACTTGCTGCAAAGTAAGTAGATAGGTGTGCTGGTGTCTGACAAGTCTACATTTTATATTATTTTATTAAATAATAGACATTTTCCCAATCTACTCCTTCAATTTTGTCACATTACTAACAAAATAATACCTTTCAAGACATACAACTCTTTGTCTTCCCTGCTCCCGAGGTTTCATTCAGAACGATGAGTCACAAATATTTCAGAGATTCAGATAAAAGTTCCAATTATTTTTCATTATTTGTTGATATTTCATTTCATACACATCCTTGACTCTGAATAATTGCCTGCAATTTAACTTTATGCTGCGCGTGCCCACAGGTGGCATTTGTGCGTGTGCGTAATATTAATGAAAAATAAAAAATAAAGAGCGAAGGGGTCCAGAGAAGAAAGTACTGCGTGATTACTATATATTTGGTATTAATGAGGGGCACTAAAAGACTAATTTCCCAAGATATCTCATCTATATAATAAGTGCCATTAGAGGGAGCCAAAATGTCATAGGCATACACACTCACTATGTATCTTAATATACACGCACTATATGACTAATAGTTCTCTCTCACACACACACTTAAAGAATCCATTTACACACAATAAGCATCCTAAAACCATGCTTTTATTAGGTAGTGGTTTATTAATGAGTAAGTCTGTGTCATTGAGTGGGAGTACAAAGGATAGAACACTCTCTTTCTCTCTCAAGAAGGAGAGCATGAGTCCCAAAGGTTCTCATTAGTATGATCTCTACACACACACACACACACACACACACACACAAGTGTGATATGAACGTGGTTTGCACATACTGATTCCACAAGAGCGTGCCAATGAGCCCCCCACCCCCCGCTCTTGCCTACATCAAAGAAATGGTTATTATTAGATAACATCTGTATTGTGCAATGCATATTAGACTAACTGCACGTTCAGGCTTTGTCATGCAAAACTAAGGTCATTTCCTTGTGCATCATTTTAAAACAGTGGTTCTCAGATGGTTTTGCTACAGGACCCAGTTTGTTTTCCCATTGGACATGGAGTGGTGACCCAAAAGTGTCATTAAAATCAATTAGTTTATTATTAAATGCTCTCATTCATATTTTATATTAACTTAAAGCGTTAGTTCACCTAAAAATGAAAATTCTCATTTATCCATCATCATTTATTCACCCTCGTGTCATTCCAAATCCACAAGACTTTCACTCATCTTCGAAACACAATTGAAGTTTTTTAATAAAACCTGAGAGATTTCGGTCTAACCATTGAAAGTCATTCAACCAAAACTTTGATGCTTCAAAAAGAATAAAACGTAGGCAAACGGATATTCATTTGAATTGAGCAACCAATAGGGTTTGTTCCTGCATGTTTGAGCTTCCATTTACCATATTTGATGTGCTTTATGTGTGTTGATTAAAGTTTATATGTGAATAAAAGCCTAAATGAAATATGTTCACCATCTGAAGACATGGATTAAACTGCTCAATTCACATAGATTATGTGTCAAAGTTATGGTGGAATGGACTTTCAAAGGAGGAACAGAAATTTCGAAGATGAACAAACTATCTATCTAATGGCACTTTTCCATTACCAGTACCAGCTCGGCTCGGCACGACTCGCTTTCGCTCCGCTTTCCATTGCAGACAGTGCAGACACAAAATAGTACCCGGTTGTCATAGCAACGCCTTTCGTTCCTCGTTGCCCCATCAAGCTCTTGCTGGATCCTCTCTTCAGCAACCAAACAAAGGAAAGTCTGCACCTCCTCGTTTGACCACGGCGTATTCTTCCGAGTTGCCATAACAATAGTAGTAAGTTTAGTAACTATCTCTGGACAAAATATTTAAACATGGCAGGGTTATTCTGGATACTCCATCTGGCGCGTTAAATGATGACGCAGTGAATGGTGACGGTTCTCTCTGACCAATCAGCCGTCGGCATCGATTTCACGTGACATTTTAGTACCGCCTTAGCTCGCTCAGAACCTCGTCGGAGGTGGTACAAAAAAAAGTACCCGAAAGCAGATACAGGTACAACTTTTACACAGTGGAAAACCAAACAAAGGCGAGCCGAGCCGAGCTGGTACTGTGTAGTGGAAAAGCGCCATAACTATGGATTTGCAAATTAAGACAACTTTTATTTTTTGGGCAAACTTTCTCTTTAAGTAGTTTTGATCATGTTTTTGAGGATTAGGGCATTTCACAAAACCTATCCAATTTTTAGCATCTGCCAAATTTGCCTACTTTTATCACTGATGAAGAGATTTTATCAAAATACATTAAGTTTAGTGAATGCACAGTGTTTGATGTGGAAAGTGTTTTCCTATTAAACTGTTTTATCTTGCAATCCTAACTATAGACAATTAGTTTAGTATTTGCGTGAACATTTTTTTTCTTGATGTATTTACTACTAAAAACAGACAACTGAAGTGGGGACTTTTTAAAAAGTAAATATTTAGTCTACTTGCTACTTGCAATTGCTTGTCAGATGCAAGTGCAAATATCAGGTAATGACATACCATTTTCTTGGACAAAAAATGTATAAATGCCCCTGGAAATAAGATGTTTTGGTCTGATTTCCAAGAAGAAAAAGGTGTACACATGTACTAAAATTGTACTTTGCCTGTAGATGACCTTAAAACTAACACACATAGACTACAAGCCACTTGCATTTTATGTCTTCAAGTTGCTGGTGTGTTATTAGTATTATAAATCAGACCATCCTTGAACCGTATGTTGGTCCGCCGTCTAGTGCACACAACATTGGCAAGGGCATTATCAAAACTGCAACCTCCAATCTG